CAAAAAAAAAAAAAAAAAAAAGATCAATTATTAATAAGTGTTTCATTTTTTTATTTGACCGATAAGTTATCATACCCTCCATAAATGGCTGTGTTTTCTTGTGTGCGTGTATATGTAAGCATGTGTCTGTGTGTACATGTGTATATACATGCATATACATACTTTATATGTGTCTATATTTGTGTGTGTGCACACGTGTGTATATACATATGTGCATATAGTTTGTATGTATCTTTTACATATTTAGTTTATATTACCTTGGATATGTGAAATTCCCAAAATTTTGGCTGTTTAGCTGAGCCCTGTTTAGAACAGCACTGATAATAGGAATTATTCTGCTCTGTTTGAGATTTGGAGAATATTTGAATATTTAAGAAAATATCCTTATTTTCTTAAAACCTTTGAGTATGCTTTCTATCATCTTGCATGTACTTTTAATTTTAAACTTCCAATACATTCTATCCATGTCAGAAATAACTATCTCATTGCACTGTGTAACAGTAAGCTAATGAGACAGAGCCATGTATTGCTTTAGCATGTTTTACATTTATGTTTGGCCAAAATTGTGACTACAGATTCTGGACATTATTGTGAGAACAGCAGAGGAAAATTTAATAGTCAAATGATTTCTACTATGCTTTAGATTTAGAGACTGTGGTAGCGGAAACTGAATTTCTGGCTATAGCATTAGCATATATATGGCAGTCTCAACTCTCAGATTATAATGCTGTTTAAGAAAAACACTTGCGTATGGAAATCTGTGCCTGGCATACCCAGATCTTCTGCCCATTTAACCTACACGAAAGTACATGAATCTCCAAATACTTAAAGACTCATCAAAAAAAAATTAAGGGCACTATTTCCCCTTGATATTTATGGTGTTTGTGGTGTCCTGTAAAGCAATTTCCCTGTTCCAAGCCATGTTTTTTTTTCTACTGCTGCACATAGAAATGTACAACTATCTTGCTTTGACATGATTGTCACTGTTTCATGGTAAAGTTGACATTAGTCATATTTGTATGCATGAATATTTTCATCTTTATTCTCTAAAAATAGAAAGCCTGCTTTGTTTTTTTCTTTTTTTATTTAATAGTAAACAAGATTTGTGTTCAGTGCCAATGTGGTTTCTGTATTTCCTGTAGAAAATGCTCGACTACCTCAAGGAGAAAAAGGACGTGGGCTTCTTTCAGAGCCTGGCTGGCCTGATGCAGTCATGTAGGTAAGGACATGCTTCCTTCCTTGGGTTCTACACAGTGGTTGTATTTTTCAAAGTATTCACTTTCCATTGTTGACAATAATTATACATAGAATTTGTAATGATTAAAGATGCTTAAAAGTGAGATGATGTGCAACATCTTGTTTTCTCTCTTGTTTTTAGGGTGTTACTAATGTTTTAATTACTTTGTTACTAACTTACTCAATAATGTCTTCAAATAGTCTTCCCCATGTTTAAATAGGGACCTTAAAGGAGAATTAATGTGTGTTCTGCATACTTGAAAATGAATTGTGTTTGCTCTTACAAAGAGAAAAAAGAAAGTTCTATTCATTTTATTTGGGAACTTGTAGGCCATTTCTCATTTCTTTCTGACTAAATGATCCTTAACCAACTAATTTCTGATCATTGTTTTCTATTTTTTACAGTATTTAAAATTGTTCAGATAGCATTTGACTAAGGAACCTGACACACACTTACTGTAATAAGCTTTCCAAATGTAAAAACATGATTTTATTAAATTTCTGCATGTCTGCTAACTTTGTAATGCACTCTCTCAGGTTGAAACCTGTGAATGCCTTACATTTAACTTTCACATGGATCATGTCAGTGTAGGCCCTGGGGAGCGGCTAGTCCGCTACCAGGGAAAAATGATTGGTAACCATTGGATTGAGGTATGCTTTCAGGGTATGCTAACATTTGGTTCACATTTCAAGATACCCAGTGTTTAGACATTTGCTCTCCTAAACAAAGAAAATGTTCTGTTAGTTCTCTGAAGTTTTTCTCCTTGTTAATTGCAGTGTCCTTGACTTAAATGCATTTGAGCGACAAAACAAAGCTGAAGGACTTGGAATGGTGACAGAGGAAGGATCAGGTATTAATCACTTTCATTAAAAGGATCACTTGTTCCCCCTCTTCCCTGAAATGAGTCAATTATCAATTACCTTTCAAGCAGAGACATACAAAGTTATTTTAAAAGTGATGAAATGCTTATGTGACTCATTTGAAAGTTCACAATTGGACACTCGCACAGGTCACCACCCAAAAACCAACCCAACGTCAATCATTAACCCCTTCTTGTCCCACCTCCCTGGTGGGCAGGCTTTCCCATAGTTGGGTTTTTAATAAGAGATAAAGATCTAATACGGGATAGAGTTCCTTTGTTAGAAAACTATCTGGAAATCATAAAACACATAGATAAACCAGATTAGAGAATGTTTGACTTTCTTTGGCCACTTTAGTAAACTCAGGCACTCAGAGACTTCTATCTCCTTAGGATAGTAATCCTTTATCTACTTCTACTCCTATTATCTCCTCCCTTTTAGCACAGTGATCTTTGTCTCTCACATACCTATATGTCTTTGCAAGTCCAGATTGTTTGATGAAAGAAATTAAAGAGCAATTTTTGTGCTTAAATAATCCTGATTATTTATATGTGCCCAAAAGTCATGATTCACACACACTTAGAGTTTTTCCCTCTCTCTAAATAGATGTTGGTATAAACTAGAAAGTTTAGCATGTAATACATTTAAAGCAGAAACAACCATTGCTGCCCATTCATTTTAGGAATATTTATTAAGAAAAAAATATCTTGAATATTTTTTGTTTTGATTTGTTTTTATTCTCTTATGTTTGATTTTTAAACTTTTTTTCACTGAGGTCTTGTGTGTTTATCTGTTTTCGTTTGTTTTGTCTGATTTGGACTTGTCATCTTGTCAATTATTAGTTTTGGAACATTGATTCTTTTATTGGACTAATCTTATTTTAAAAAATAAATTTTCTCCCATCTGCCATTTGTAGTCTTTGCTTGTCTTCCTGAAATATGAACTAATCTTTCTCTGTATTTTTTTGTTCTTGCAAATAGGAAAAAGAACTGCCTATTCTTATATCTGAAATTTTATCATTTATACACATTCTAACGCTGCTACCACTATGTGGCTCCCGTGTTATTTTATTTTTTGCTTGACATTTGAATGTATGGGTCCGATCATCAAATAGCTCACACGGTTACTTAATTGAATTAGCTATGTTCCAGAAAAAAATCACTAGCACCACTTTAAACTTACTTAGGTTTTCTAGCTTGGGGTTCGGAAAGTTCTGAGGCTCTGTCCTGAAGTTGAGAAGGCCTGACTTGCAAGAAAAATCACCAGCCCCACTCTATACTTACTTAGGTTTTCTGGCCCTATCTGGAGAACCTGGAGCCACTACAATTTCATGGCACATCACCTGCCTGCCTTGAGCATCTCTGGAAGGTCCTGAGCATTTTCTAACTGTAAAATGCCTAAAAGTGAATGAATTCTCTGTCCAAAGTCTGACTTCCCTATCTTAGAATTAGAAATCAATTTCATTTTTTCCCTGTAGTTATTACTTAATGTTCCAAGGGCCCTGAACACAACTCTGTTGCTCATTCTTAGTCACTGGTAATGCCAGCTCCCACATGGGAATAGTGGCCACTGGGGTTCATTTCACTTAGCCTCCGGTCCTTTGTCAGCCAGGGATAGACTGGAATAACAGTTTTGAGTCTCAAATCAGAAATAACTTTATGAGAGTGACTTCTGATGTGAGAATTATTTACATCTCTCAAAATGAGGTTGGTTTAATTTGTGCATTCTTTTTCAACACACACACAAAATAATCACCCAAACTGATTAACACATTTTGTATTTTATTTCCTTACAAGTAGCAAAACAAAAACAAAATCTCAACTTCTTTCTTTTTCCCCATTTCCTTTTCTTTCGACTACTGTAAATGTACTATCCTCCCTTCCTCAGTCATCACTCATGAGCGTGGTAATTATTAAAAATGAACTGTCTTTTATTTATTTGCTCTTTTACTTGTTGTTAGCTTTGTGTACAAACTTGATAGTGATCATTTTTGTGCATTTTTTCTTTTATAGACTGTTTTTACAAGTAGATTATTTAATTTCCATCATTATGCATCCTGTTATTTTTTAAATTTATGTATCTAGCTTTCCTCTTTTTTTCTTTCTATGAGGATGTACAGTTATTGATATATTAGATTATGAAGGGGCAAAAAGCACTTCAATTACATTTTTTGATTTGTTTCGTTGTGTTTCGTTCATTTAAAAAAAATTCTGGCGGGCCCAGTGTTTGCAATTGTTGTGTAAATGAATGAATCATAGAATGTGTGCTCTAGTGTCCTTGTGGCGTTTCTGTCTTGAACGTACTGTGGCTTTATGGCTGCACTGAGTGGTGCATGGGAAATCAGTGACAGGTCCAAGGTGAAAAGTGACGAGCTCAGTCTCTTCTTGGCCAGCGTGCTCTGCCAATTGCCTTCCCAGTGTTGGGAGGTCTACAGAGTTTTTCTCTATTCCTTTGAAAATATCACAGATCAAAAATCATTTAACATAAAAAAAACTAATTTTTATTCTTGAGACTAAATTCAAAGAGCAGTAGAAACAATAGCAACTATTTACTCTTCAAACTAATATAATAACAAAGATGGCATTAGTGTTTCAAAGTAGTTTCTAAAAGACATTTCTAGCCTGGTGCGGTGGAGCACAACTGTAGTCCCAGTTCCTTGAGAGGTTAAGGTAGGAGGAATACTTGATGTCAGGAGTTTAAGATCAGCCTGGACAACGTAGCAAGACCCGATCTCTTAAAAAAATTGTTGCACTTTCCACTCTGAAGAACATTCTATGCAATGGTAATAAAGAAGTGATGAGGTTTTAAACAATACCTTGTATGTCAACAAGACTAGTGAGATTAAATTGTGCTTTTTGGATATATGCTATTGCCTTAATCAAGAGACCTATTAGGAGAATGTACAAGGGAAACTCATTAGCTCTATTAATACTATACTATTTTCCAGATTGTTTTAAGAGCTCCTGTACTTATTCTCTTTTGGCATATTTAAAAAATTTTCTGTTATAGGACCATTCTTTTATTTAAGATTCTATGAAAGTTAAGAAAAGCCCATACCCCCACAGGAGAAGAAAAATCAATCATCCATCTTAGAAGGTATAGAAAAGGCTAAAAAACCAGAATCTCTTAGTGATATTATTGCTTCAAAACTTGAGTCTCAGATAGCATAGACTGAGCACTGAGAAAATAATCTGCTATACCTAAATCTCCACCCTAATCCACTGTCTTTATCAGGCTAAATGTCTGATGATGATAATGTGACCATAGATTATATAGTCATGGAAAATGTGTAAACTTAAACACATGAGCTTTTTTGATACCCACAACCTTCCAATGAGGTGTAGCTATTACCTTGATGCTATAGACAAGGAGACTGAAGGAAAGAAGGTTACTTAGCTTGTCCAAGGTCACACAGCTAAGTGGCAGGGCTGAGACTGAAATGTAGGCATTTTGCCTCCCACCAGAATTTATAGATTCCATGAGCCAAGTCACTTCCCTCCCATCTTTACGTATTCTACAGGGGCTTAAGTCATGTCCAGCATTGCCTTAGGTATATTTCTTGTCCCTTTATTTATTGCTCTTGGCTCTTTTCTGGGATAGTCTGTTGCCAATGTTTGCATTTACGGTTCAAGTTTAAAAATTGCTTTTGAACTTTTTATGGTTACAAATGCTGTTCGTAATCTGGTATTGAGATACCATTAGGAGCTATGTGTTTGTTTAAGGTTTGTATATAGATTTCAGACTAATCATTTACATGTCTTTTTCTACTCCTGTTATTGTCATGTAAGTTTTGCCCTGGGTCCCTGTCCCTCCTTCCTAAATTTTCCCCATTTCTATAAAAGCCTAGACCTACCACTTGTTAAAAAAAAAAAAAAAAA